TAATGAGGATAGTTCACAGATTCAAGGTGAAGCAAGCTTGTGCATTTTATAACATGATGCTGAAATCACCTTTGCATTTATATTTTGAAAATCTATGTATGCTTATATAATATAGCAACAATGCTAAGTAGAAGTTTATGAAGCTTTATTTCACCAATTCAGCTTTAGTGCTGAAAATGTTTATTTTATAGTGGATGGTTACAAGTGAGAGGAGAGATTGGATGTGTTTATTTTATTACCATAGCTTATTATTAATACTTATAACCAATCTCTGTAGTTGTTTTTGGAGAATCCCTAATTGTATTTGTTCAAAGTCACTTGAAGCTATTAAACAAATAAATGCAACTTAAGTAAAAAAGACAGTATTTAAATGCTTACAATTTAAAGTCAAACTGTCATATAATGGATGCTTATTCACCCCTGACCCCTCATGTGCAAATGAACTCAGCTAGATAATAGTTATTAGGTAGCATAGCTGCAGATAGGATTTAACATCATTTGATTACTGAACATTAACAAGAATGATAAGAGAACCCAATAAAGGGGAACACTGCAATAAACCACAACACAATTCAATGCTGGCATGGCTGAATCCATCAATCAATGTACTGTACAGAATATTCTGCACTATATACAGGGTTAACTCACTGGCGCTTTAAGAAAATATAATAATGCAGTCATATTTATGATAAGATCAGGTTTCCACTACAGCATATTGAAGCAGTTTATTTTTTATTGAACTTCCCCACAATAATAACAAGATTATGGCTAAGACTTGATATAATCAAGAAAATGAAAAAGACTCCTAGCCCTTCATAACTATTTGTTTTTCATTTTTAAGAAAAAGTAGGTCTACATGGAAAGTGAAACTGTTGAATAATAAAATAATAAATGTTTGCAATATTATTACGCTTACACAAGACAAGGCTTGAAAGAGCAGGGTGGTATGCAGATATGTGAAGAACACTATATATATATATATATATATATTAAAAAGAAGAGGTGCATAAACGTTTTTGGTTTGCAACCAAAAACGTTTTGCACCCTCTTCTTTTTAATATACATACTTTTCTCTCGTTGGAACCACTACAACATATTTCCTTTATATATATATATATATATATATGCGCATCACCCATATTTATACCATATACACAACTGCTGAAATAAGTGCCATATCTAAGTTGATGTGGCTTTCTTCATCTTATGTAACTCCTTGACTAAATGTTTGTTATTTTCTACAGGGATATAATCTACTTGCATAAATTCATGTCTAATTTTATATATATATATATATATATATATATATATATATATATAGTGGTACTCACTTGGAAAAACCTTGGGTATTTTGGCTTGTAGTTGAACAAACCAATACCCAAGGAAAAATGAGGAATAAAAAAAGAAAGAACTAAGAACATGAAATTGAGGTGAAAACAATCGTCCAGAGTTCAAACTCAGTCCAAAGAAAAAACCTCTAAAACGAGTAAAGTAACTATGTAAAGTGCTCAATACATGAAGTAGAGCAAACCTAAAGAGCCAGGTAAACCTACCTAGGTTTCATCTAAATGGATTGTCAGGGTAAAACTGGCTTTATATATATATATATATATATATATATATCTAACATCTACATGCCATCCTGATGGACTATTCTTATGTTTTGTATTTTTTTTCTCCCTTTTACACTCACTCTCATCGGAATCTGAATTCCAAAAGAACAATTGGAGATGAAAAAAATAAATTTCTTTTATGATAGAATTATTATGATAGAATGCTGAAAGGTTCTCAGCCCAGTCCACTTCCCAAGATCAGAACTAATGCTTGATCAGTGAAATACCAATTTTGGAAGCAGATTGGGTCAAGGACTTTTCAGCACCCCACCATATCTGTACAATATCTATTGAAACACAGCAGTTGGAAATCTATATTGTGAGACCAAGTCTGCAGAACCCTGTAATTTTAAAAATACACGTTTTACTAAACAAAACTCTTACTTTTCCTTATAAAAGATAACAGTCATGTCTCAATTCTGTTATTAAACACATATATCACATTTACTTATTGAAATGCATACATATTTGGCATTTGTTGACACAAAAATTGTATATCATTTAGAATTTAACCATTTATTAAATCACATTCTGCTATCTTATTTAAAAAAGATGTTAAGAGGTACTGGAAAAATAATGAAAAATATATAAGAAAAACAATGTATTAACTACTAATAAAACAAATATTAAATATCTTTTTACAAGAGAAAGATGGGATATTATATTAAAACTTAGATAAAATTAGACTGAAACACAAGAATTACATGATAATTGACAGACAGATGACATGTTTCTTTTGGACAAACAAGCATTCTGGTGTTTGTAAACAGAAAATAAGAAGACAAACAGAGAGGTGTGGTTAATTCCCTCTACCCACTCCCAAAAGAGTGAGTGTCTGAGGGTAACAATGAGTAATGATGAGAAACAAAATTAATTTCTAGAATGGATAATTTTCCATTTCTTATTTAAATAAAATACTAAATATTAAAAAAAAATTAGATTCATTTTTCTACCTGTTGCAGAAATATATATATATATATATATATATATATATATATATATATATATATATATATATAAATAAAATAAAGAGAATGATACATTGTATTTCTCACGATAATGTACTTTTTTGTAACAAAAGTCCTCCAAAAATCACTCTGCATCTCATATCTTGATCAGATTACCAATACTAAACATTTAAATATCTGTTCGACAAATACTCCTCCGATGATCACAATTCAATATAAATAAAAAAAGAACAATGTATATGAATGAAATGATTTTTTTCCAAATATTCCTTACCAAATTATAAGTGTCTGTGTGTGTGTATATATATATCCTTATTTACATATAAAAACAATCTTTTGGATAAATTAATGTATGATATAGTGTGTTATTGTAGAATTATAACATACAAACCTAAGCATCTTACGAAAAAAAAAGATTAAAACTGTTAAGAAGCCACATATTGAGATAATGAAAGTGAAAGGATTTCTTAAATGTCTTCAAAGTTTAGAGAAACTGACATTTTTTTTTGTCTTTTTTATTAAATCCTTTATATGCATATGCAAGATACTATTTTTTAAAAATGTTGATAGGCTAAATATCTTTCTTTTTAAAAAAATATTAACAGGAATGAAATATCAGATCAATGCCATGTATTGTTTTTGTGTGTCAACTAGAGATTGATTCATGTATTATTAAAAAAAGACCTAAGATTTGAGCAAGAAAAAAAAACAAACAAAAAAAAAACACCTGAGACATGCATACTTTTATCCAGGAAAAAATTAGGAAATTGATTTTTTTTTTATTAAAACTAGTTTACTTTTATTTTGTAATAATTATTACTGTGCATGTTTATTTTATTATGTATGTTTCATTATATCTAGATTGATATACATAACTCAACTATATCAATTTTGATATAATTTTCTAAAAACCTTTTTACAACTGAAAATAATTGTAATGTGTATGTACTATTGTATAACAGTATATTGAATATAAGCATTTTTTTAAAATGAATCCGTCAAAATTAGTAGCCAATGATATTGTTAACTTGATGTTGATTCATATGAATTAACATCATCAAGAATTGTCAGAAATCATATTTCAGAAAGTTTAATTTAAAAAAATCTGAAGCAAATTCTTATTTTTTTTGAACAAAGAAAAATAAGATGTCTCAAAAGTAAAATTTGATAAAAATCAAATTTTGATTGGCCCTAGACTAAGCTGAAACAAATTTATGTCTTATAATTATGGCTATTTTAAAAAACTGAAGGAATTATGAGTGCTGCTTTTTTCATTTTCTTTTTAAAAGTTATTTCAACTCTTATTAATAATTGCATGCTATAAAGGGAAAGACTTGAAAATATACACCTAAAACATGAAGTTAGTCAAAATAAATATTCACAATTTATTTTTCTGATAAAAAAGCACATGTATACAAAAGCATATTTGTATTTAAGAGATATTTATACATCTTAGATATTATGAATTTTTATACTAATGGAGTGATAGATTTAGTAGGTTTAGGATGTGAAATATGTAACCAAGATCTAATTATCTGCCCATAGGCTCAGATGAAAATTTATCATGTTTGTAACCTTATAATATGGTTAATCAAAGAAATAAAAGTTCTGGTTTGTACCACAGCAATCAACTCAAGTTGATTCAATCAATTTGATCAGTTGTTGAAAGTAAACTTGAAAATAAACTTGGAAATTTAAAATTTTTTTTCCTTGGTGATAGAGGGAGGGATCATTAGATATAAAAGAAAAAAAAAAGAAAAGAAAATCAGCAGGTATAAAGCAATATTTTGAATGAAAATAAGGAGTTATGTCTGGTAGCAAGATATGTTGATTGTTGCATGATTAGGACAATCTGCCTGTTTGCAGTGGGAATGGCCAATATTAGACATTAATACTGTTGATCATTTTAAAGTTTTGAATTTCCTTGCAATATAAGCAAGAGCTCATATCCTAGTGTAACTATTTATATCATTAAATACTACAGAATGAGAATATGAATAGAATCTCTTGGGTGGGGGGGGGCATGAAGACAACAGTTTTGATGGCTGCAGTTCTTACCAAATCTACTGCTAGCACATGTGGTAAAGTAATAAATTGTAAGAGATTAGGTAGAAAGTTTGAAATTGTTTAGATGGACATTTCAGCCTTTTGGAGTTAATGAAACCATTAGCAGTAATATACTGTAGGAAATAGTCAATGTTAAAAGATAGCAATGATATTTATATCTACTGAGTAAAATTTGATGAAAAAAAAAAGAAAAAAAAAGCATTTGTGATGGTTTCAAACTTTCTTAATACAGAAATTTTACATATTTTTTTTCTCTTTATATTCCAGGTAAAGAGTAACTATATTTATAAAATGTATGTTAAAAAAAAAAAATCAGTGCCTTTATTTTTTTCAGAAGATCCACATAATATACTCATTGGTAATTAGGAAATAACTTGTAGATTGTGCAATAAGGGAGAGAGAGGGTGTAGCCAGAGGAAGGTGTGTAGAAAGGTGGGGAAAGCTGGAATACTGATGATAAAAAGTAAATAAAAATGCATGTAAGAGCACCACATTATCACAGATGAAAAATAACTTAACTCATAGGGGGGGAAAAATCAATAAGTAAACAAAAGAAAATGAAATTAAACAATTATCTTTTTTTTTTATCTTTTCTCTATTTGATTAGTGTTTTCTGAAATGATTTGAAAAATGAGTCAATAGTTGTGGGAAGCAGAGCCAAACATGTAAGGGGATACTTAGCCATGGATGGTTTGGGTTATTTTTGTGGACATACATTTTTTTTTTTTTTTTCATAATTGCTTTGTTTGCTTTTTCTTGTTAAATGTTGTTATTTGTATTAATGTTATTTTCACTGGCATCAGCAAATGCCAGATATGTGTCTCATAATCTGTCCTGTCAGACATTTTGGAAACCAAAACCAAAAAATGAAAAAAAATATTTTATACTTGATTTTAGTTTTACTTTTCTTTCATTTTCTAGTATTATTTTTTGTTTTGTTTTTAAAATATAGCATAAAACTAACGAATTTTTATAATTTTTTTCTTTTTAATTTTGTTTTTATTTGTCTTTTTCATCTTTTTAATTTGTTTATGCATGTCTTTTGAAAGATGTTTACTCTTTTCCTTCTATAATGTGCATAAATCTGTATACACAGATAAACACAAGTAAAATCACGGCAATTAGGCCTGCACGTGTTTTGGAATTCTTTTTATCCCTTTTTTTTGTTTTTCTTTTAATTTTCTTCTTTTTAAGTGGTTTTCTTTTCACTTTTCTACTTCATTGATTTTGGAATTATTATGCAGCAAGCTTTCATCATCATTATCTTCTGCAACATTGTCTTCATCCTCATTTGATGAAAGTAACTGGGTCTCTGTAGGATGAACAATCTCTATCTTGGTAGTCACCAGAGGGGAAACACTGGTGGCTGTGGAGCTACTACTTGTTGGCATAGTTGCACTTGATATGCAAGCTGGGGCATGACCTGATAAACTATTCAGCTCGTTAATTTCATCACTCATACAGTTGAGATTATCTCCATTTGTGTCACAATAGTCAGTTCGCCCAGTTGATGTTGAGGCTGACATTCCAGTCCCTTGCAGTACCTGGTTCTCCTTAGACAAAAAAAAAAAAGAAAATTATCACAATTATATAAAGACAAACAAGAGTTGTCTGGCATTGTTAAAATTTAAAAAAAGTAATCAATAAAATTGTAATTGTTCTCTTGCATGTAGCAATATGGAAGACAAAATAGTCAAATACAGAGTGGACCGAAATCAACTTATATACCCAAGAATTTGCATGTATTTTAGACAGAAATACATAGATAAATGACAAAAATGTTACCTTTGTTAAAGAATTTAAACAATTTAGGAATATTTTATTATGAAAATAAAACATTTAACTTATTATAAGCTAATTTATTACACATTGTATTTTTTCAGATATCCAACATGGCAGTAACAACTGTATAAAAAAACAAAGCAATTTTTTTTTTTTTTTTTTCTTATTTCCAATTCCTTAGACATATTCCATATGATTCATGTCAGAAGTTTGACTTGGATATGAGGAATATTTAATAACATTTTTGACCTGCTTGTTTCTCCATTCCTCATTAAAAGTGTGTTGTTTTGTCTAAATAACAATCAGTGAACAGTGGGATAGTCCCTTCTGTAGAAAAGTCTGGACTTTTCTAAATTGATATTCCTTATACATTACTGCATATTGTTCTCATTGCCAAAAGGGAAAAGCTGCCATATTTAATAGTTAGCAGAAAGGGAAGTTAAAACAAACAGTTTGGTGAAGCAATCTCCAGATCCTTATTTATCTACCATTTGTAAGTTGAGTAAATGGGAACTCATTAAAAGTCAACAGTATACCCAAAACACGATGGTTCTGCTCTGACCACTACCTCAATTACCTAGGGCCAACACTAGTGTTTTGGGAGTAAGACACATTAGCCATTCAATTACTCAATGTCTTTACTACTAAATGGGACTAGTGGCATTCTTTTGGCTGCTCTACCATAATAACTCTTGATGATGTGATATTTACTGCTCTGCAATGAGAATATTTTCAGGTAACTATCTCATCGCAAAAAAGATAGCTTTCTGATGGCCCAGATTGACCTGAATGAAAAGGCTTTTTTTGCTTTCATAGGGAATTATACAATCAAGTGACTCACTGTTGCAGAGGTAGTTCAGGGTTTTGGTTCTTTTTGACAATAGCTCATACCAGACCAACAATTTAGACCATTTCTCAACCTGACAATTTCCCCTGCTCATGGATTAAGAAGCATTGTATGGTTATTTCTCTTGCAGTTTTATAAGAAACTGAATAATAATCAGTGAATATAGATTTATTAAATGATAAATAATAATGGTGTCTGTTTACTTACACAATATATTTGTGTATCATATTTTATTTAAATTGGTTAAGTCACCTAGGATGTTTGTCATGTTTAAATCAGTTATAAGATTTAAACCAGAGAATTGACAGTTAAAGTTTCTTAATTTCTATCAGGTTAAAAATATTAACTATCATCAAATCACTTTGGAAAAGAACATTTTGAATTTATACCAACAAAATAATTACTTTAAAACTTATAAAATTTACAGCCTTATAAATTTCTGCAAATTGGGAATTTTTTCAGAGTTTTGTGCAACCATTCATTTCTAGGCATTTTTTAAAAAGTTGTTACATCAGTCAATTGTTGACTGAAAGAAAAGATATGTAAACAATTTTTGTTTAAATTTTGTTAAACCAATTGTTTTCATCATTGTATGTGTTTTTTTTTGGACTAATTTCTTTCTCCAATATTCTAACTGGTCGGAGAATAAACTGTCAGGTGGCCATAACCCCACCCACCAAAAAAACAGTCTTACATTATGCAAGAACCCAACCAAAGTAAAAAAAAAAAAAAAAAAAAAAGAAAATATGATCAAGAACTGTTAATATTATATTATTAGTATGATAATTCATTCAGTTGTTGTAGAGAGCAGAAGAGCAAAACTATCCACTCCCTAAAAATAAGATTTGAGTGAAGACACTTTCAAATTTCATAAGGTTGTCCATAAATGGAGGGAGAGGAAAGCACACCAACCTTTATGGAATCAAATAAAAAAAACAATTATATTAATAGAAAAAATAAAAATAATAGAAGGTTGAAGAAATCTGCCAACATACTATACTCAGATTTTTCAATAAAAAGAGTACTGGCATTAGTAGCTTGTAGGAATCATTAACTAGGTGGGAATAGATGATGAAATTGGACTTCCATAGACACTTACCTAGTCCAGAGAATATACAGTCTATACAACATCAAGAGAATATTCAGAAAAGGTATAATATTATACTATTAGTATCTGTCTATATTTCTGAGATAAGGTATTATGTACACTATTTACATTATTCAGACTATTTGTCGCCATATTTATGACAATGTTTCGGTCATTGTATGTTGGAATGTCGAACTGAACCCTTTATTTCACTCACTGGGGTAGACTTATCAGTTATCTCTTATTAATTCACCTCTCCAAGTTCTCCACTGCCTTAACCAGGTATTGAACTCACACTCTTTGGGTCTTGGATCTAACTAATGCCTTTATCCACTGTGCCATGTGTCCTTGAGGACATCTGTGTATGAATTTCTGGGTATTATAAACCTAATGTCTTCAGCAACCATTTTTTAACCAGTGCTCATATTGCAATTTTTGCAGTTATCATTGCATGTTTTTACCAGAGCTCATATTACAATTTTTTGTTGTTATTAGGAGATAACTGATAACTGACATCCATTAAACATGGCACATGAAACTAGAACAGTCTACCCCAGTGAGCGAAATAAAGGGTTCAGTTTGATAATCCAACCACCTGAAGAAGGCCAGAGCGTACAACGGCTGAAACATTGTAATAAATATGGCGACAAAGATGAGTACAATAGTCCGAATAATGTAAATATTATATTATTAGTATGATATTTCATTCAATTGTTGAAGTAGTAGATTAGAAGAGCAAAACTATCCACCCCCTAAAAATAAAAAGTAGCTTGTAGGTTTTATGAGAGGAGGGATGGAGTAACCTCAATATCCCTGGTGCAAAAGGAACCGGCAAGCAAGTAACTAGATGCACAAGGCAGCAGGTGGTTTGAAATTCAGTTTTCTTTCTCCTAGACTGGGTGATGGTGTATGGAGGTCATGCACTGCTCAGAAAAAATATTGGCTCTTCTCTTGGCCATACCGACAAGATCCAAGGGACGGCTTGGCTGCAGGAGTTGCCAGAAAGTTATCAGTGCTGACACTCAACTGCCTTCAGGGCTCCACTTTGTGTTTTTTGTTTGGATTTACTTCCATAGCCTTTTTTTGTGTTTTGCATATTACCGCAAGGCAGGGTTTTCCTTTTCCTAGATAGACTAACTTCCTGGGCTGTCGAGTTCTATCTACGCAAAAGCAGCTGGTTATGAGGCACCAGTTTTCTGCCTCTGCCCATTCTATGGCTTGGAACAGGACTTAGTTGTCAGAGGCTATTAGAGACACATGCCACAAAAGCATTTTATAGACAGTGCTGGTTTGTCCCCACTATCACCCCAAGCTAAGACAATCTTTAGAACATAATGTATGCATGTATATAAACATTTATATCCATTACATATTTTAGAAGCACTAAAAAAAAAAAAAATTAATGTTCTCTTAAATATATATGTTAGATAAATAATGAAATAGTATATAAATAAACAAACACAAATATAAAAAAAGTTTGTTAATTTTAGAAAAACATAGCAGAAACAAAAAATTAAAATTATATATATATAAGGATTTAAGCCTAAAATATTTGGAGATTAGGATATCATTATATAACATACAATGGACTAACAGCTAAACTATCAAATGATAAAAAATGAACCAGAGTAGAAAATGCAAAGTTGATAAATATAACTTTAGCTGAGCAAAAACGGAAAGTAAAATTAAGACAAATGATCTTCAGGTTAGTTGTATAAAAGCATAAATACCAATACAGTAAAACCTGATAACTGTGGAAAAAGTTGAAATACATATATAACTTCAAATAAACAATCATAATATATACAGGATGCGATGGATAAATCGTCGTCTAAATTATGCAAAATGAAAATAACACTGAAATTTCATTTTAACGGATATATTTACCAAAATTACACAAAAATATCTTGAAATACTAAAGAGGAAATGTATTCAATAAAATCGCCATTGGCTTCAACCACAGCCTCCAGAAGACTTTGGAATCTCCTAAAACTCTTCTGGACAATTACCTTGTTTAAGTTGAATGAAAGCTACCATAATCCTTGCCTTCAGTTCATCTTTGGTGATACAAAGAGTTTTGTTGGTCTCTCACTCAACTGTACCCCACATGATAATCAAAGGGGTTGCAGTCTGGGGAGTTAGGTGATGTGGTTGCAGAAATTGTTTGACAGTCATGACTGGGTTCTCCTGCTTGTGTGGTATGGTGCAGAGTCCTGTTTCCAGACATAGGGTCTTCCAGCAGCCACCCTCTTGGCCCAAGAAAGCACTACCTCCTCAAGGCACTTGATGCAGGTCTCTGTGTTGATTCTGAGGACTTGTGGGAAGATGAATGGAGGCATAATATCACCATTATTAGTGATCACTCCAAACATCTTTGTGATCACCATTAGACTCATCCAACTCTTTCTGAATCCTTTGCACTCTCCTCAGATTGACAACCAAATGCTCTGAAATGTTTGTATTGGAGCTACTGGTGCAAATGCCAAAAAGTACAGCATGCTGTTTCCAAATTTCTGGAGGAGTGAATTGCATCATGGTTCTCTTTTTCTCATAAACAGTGTCCAGTTGAATCAACTATACTGTGCAGTTGACAAAATCAAAAACAAACAAAATGCATGTACAAAATTAAAAATATTTTAACAGATATATTTACTAAAATTACATAAAAAAATATCTTGCAATGTGAAAGAGTAAATTTGTTCAATGAAATTGCCATTGGCTTCAACCATGGCCTCCAAATGACTTTGGAATCTCTTGCATCTCTTCTGGATGGTCTCCTTGTTTAAGTTGGTGAATGCTGCCATTATCCTTGCCTTTAGTTCATCCTTGGTGTTACAAGGAGTTTTATTGGTCTCTTGATCAGCTATGCCCCACACATAATAATCAAGGGAGTTGCAGTCTGGGTGTTAAGTGGCCAGATGTAAGGAGTGATGTGGTCACAGAAATTGTCTAACAGCCATGACTAGGTACTCCTGCTTGTGTGACATGGTGCAGAGTCCTGATGCCAGACATAGGATCTTCCAGCAGCCACCCTCTTGACCCAGGGCAACACTACCTCCTCAAGTCACTTGATGTGGACCTCCGTCTTGAGTCTGAGGACCTCACCAATAAATTCAGGAGTTCTTAGCAGAATGATCAGAGTGAGCTTTCCGAGCTGCTATACCTTCATAAATCACCATTAGACTCATCCAACTCTTTCTGAATCCTCTGCACTGTCCTCAGATAAACACTCTGAAATGTTCATATTGAAGCTTCCGGCATGAATGCCAAGCAGTACAGTATGCCATTTCCAAATTCCTGGTAGAGTGAATTGCATCATGGCGCTCTTTTTCTCACAGATGATGCCCAACTGATGCTACTATATACTGTGCAGTCAAGAAAATCAAAAACAGACATGCATGTGCGAAATAAAAAAATATAAAATGGCAAAAATTTACCCATCGCACCCTCTATAATAAATGAAGTAAAATAAATAATAATTGCAAATTATATTAAATTATTATTTAAAATAAATAATGCTAAACCTGTACATTTCTTAATATATTTTTCTTGTTTTATGATAAGTATATTAAATATGCTTTATGATAAATATATTAAATATATGTTTTAATTTGCACTTTTCACTGATATCAATGTGCATGTATTCTCTACTGAGCATCTCATTAAATAAATTTGGATAAGCAAAAGCATATTGTTATTAATTTGTTGAATGTCAAATAATTTGTATTTCTTGAGAATTGGGTTATGGGTTAGGGTCTACGTTCCCTTTAAAAACAACAAGAAAAAAAGGCATACTCATTAATTTCTAATTCTGATTAAAAATTTTCTTCTATCTTTATTTATTAGTTGCTTTTTATTTCAACTTCACTTGAGGTTTTAATCTCCAGCAATGTGAATTGAAAATAATAGAGGATAAGTTGTAATACAAAGCACCTAAAATTAAAACCAAAAAATACCAATCAAAACTAACAATGGTTAACAATGTTTCATTTGAAAATAAAAATAAGCAAGTAATCAACATATGGTAGTTTCTCTCAAATTCCATCATTTTAATTTCACTTTTAGTTAATGAATTACCTGGTGCATGACATGAATATTGCTCATATGTTCCTTCATAAGGCTCCTTTTGGAGAAAATTTGCCCACATACGGGGCAGAGAATAGGTTTCACATCAGCAACATGGGTTTTCAGGTGAGCTTTCTGATTTTCCTTCTCTGCAAGAAAAAAAAAATTAGTTTTTATCATTAAATATAAAATTAACTTGAAAAGAGCTGAGACCAATAAAACAAACATATTAACAAATACAGTAAACATTACTTGATTGGTTGACATTTTATTTAACCAACAATATCTTTGAAAGTTTTCACCAATTACTCACCATATCATAATATTTTTAATAGATTTTTATTTTATTTTATAAAAGGGTTTAGCTATTGTCATTGGAGATGGTTATTATAGAGAGCATTATATTTGCTGGCTTTACTCTCCCTAAAATGGATTCAGTTGAATGATTTGTGTGGCATAATAGATGAAGATGTGGCAGACATGTGACATGAGCAGGACTTAACACTGACTGTTAAATGATTATTAAGGTCAGAAAGAGGACATATTCAATTTTGAACAAGGCAACTGCACTAGGTTGTATGTGTGAATTCTGAATAGACAGTTGTGATACAACAAAGACAAAAGGTTTCTTTTGATAGGATGACATGCTCGCCACTGGAACTATCTTACACAGTGTATTCTCTTGGCTGACAACATAACACTAGTCATAGTTCAACTGTCAAATGATCACTACCTGACTTCTTCTGAGCTTGTCTTTTATAGATTGCAAAACATGCTTGACACATGTGATCTATATGCTAAATACCCTAGTTCCAGCATGTCATTTTCTTTCATTTTGGCGTTCTGCATGCCAGACAAAGACAAACTCTCTTTCATAGAGATTAAGATAAGTTCTGTTCACCATTTCTGCCATTTGACTCTGGTTCATTATGTCTGCCACAACAATATTATATGAAAACCACAGGCAAACAAAGGTGATGCAAGAATAAGACTCCTGGCAACTGATAAAGATGGATGGATGGATGGATGTTGGATTTATTGTCAACTCTTATTCTGATAAAGATGATGACAATCAAGTAAAGAGGAACACTGCAATAAATCATAACACAATTCAATGTTAGCAATGCTCAAAACCCATCAGTCAATGAATTGTTAAGAATACTCCATATTTCATGGAGTTTCATAGTAGTCAATCAACAAGAATACTATTAATAGCATCTCCATGTTAGTTAATGCACTTCACCTAAGCCAGAAAACATCACTGGACCAAGAAGACTGGTGCCATGTTTCCTGGTTAAATAAGTTATGTTTCTAATCCTTGTGAGAAGATGGTTGAGTTTGTATGAGGAGGAAACCAGGTGACATAGATCTGGGTGTTGTGCAATGTTGATGATGGCACTATAATAGTGTAGGACATATTCTATTATATTTTTAAGGACCACAAGAGAAGTTGGAGTTTGTCTTGACAGGTGTGTCATATGCAGATTTTGTTACATCCCTGGAAATGTTGGCTATGATTTTTAATGGTAATGGTTTGTTCCAGCAAGACTCCCTCCCCAGTTTGCATGGGCAACATGGAACTGGCTCCAGTAACAGTTGCCCGACATTGACCTACTCTATTGATCTTTGCAGTTGAGATTTAAATGTCTGGGATATAGAGTGGACCATACTAAATTCCCTGCAGCCATTTGCAGAGAATCTGGGAAGTTCTGCACTCTGTCCATAAAATATAAGTAGTTATAGACAGACTAGGAAAAAGATTGACTATATATTCAATGTAGTAATTCCAGTACATTGCAGGCTACATCATATCACAGAGCCATTGTTATTTAAATGAATGAAGAATCAAATATGTGAGTAGGTAGCTGTATAATCTTTTGGCAATTCAACTATGAATCTTAGATGTATACAAAATTTTCCAGTGCTCTTTGAAAATTGGATTCTAAATACAACTTAAAAATATATATTTTTTATTAGATTTTGGTTTGGTTTGTTTTACGGCATATGAACCTCAATGCCGACAAAATTTTTATTTCTGGTAATATTTTGTTTTGTCAAAAATCTATTTCTGGTAATTTTTTTTTTAAAAAAACATTGTTGGTAATATTTTTTTTTCAAATATGTATTGCTGATTTTTTAAAGTATTTCTGTTATTAAAACCTGTTTTTACATTTTCATGGAGTTTTGACTCCAGTTTTGGGGTTAACTATTTGCCCATAGCTGGAACCCTAACAGGTGCTACCACTGCAGGTCAGGTTGGACCTGGGAACACCAGCAATTAAGAAGTGGTTCTACGCTCCTCAAAACCTCCTGATCAGAGGCCTTGCTGTTGGATGTAGTTTATCGTCATACCCAGGATGGATTTTTATTGGAAATTTTAACCATATCTAACAGTAGTATTCTATCAGTAATACTTGTCTTAATATCAGTGATAATCACTTTTTTCCTGGTTTTCATTATACAATATTAAATGAATGCAGAAACTAGCTAAAATAAATTTGAGTTAGACTCTACAAAATCTAATGTTTAGTAATTAAATATTTTTCTCTACCACTAAATATATTTGGTTTGTGAGTAAAGAAAGAGACAGTAACACAAACAGTGCCATTATTCTGTTGATGTTTTAATTAAGGAGATATAAAGAAAGAAAGAATTGTATTAAGTACATTCTAAAAGTCAGATCCAATATTACTTAACAAATACCAAAGACTGTATCAATTGCTGCATTAAAGCAAATAAGAAAATAATCTGAAAAAATATATAGGATTGTATGTGCAGGTCATCAATATTTGATTGATAAACAACACCTGTGTTTGATTTGATCAAAACTTTATACTTGGTCATATTATTCTTGTTATTTATTATGTTATATTTTTTATTTTTTTTATCATAAATTATAAATAATTAAATCATATGGAATGCAGGGTACTATAATAATAATAATTTAATTTAATCCCTGGTACCATGAAAACATAGGATTAATCAGAAATTGCAGAAAAATGAGAGATTATCTATATAAAAATGTTAAAATTATCTCTGATCTAATAAGTATTAGCTCTTGGTCTTATCCACTAAGAGCCTCAATACCAGATACTAAGAAAGAATGCTATTTAAAAAATCAAATAGTCTAAATATTGAAATAAGTATATATTAATATATTAATATATATATTATTAATATATTAATATAAGATCAGTGTTTTCTTTATCAGGCTTGCAAAACAAATAGCTTCTTTCATTTTTCTTCTTGTGTACATTAAAAATCATGTATCTAATGATGAAAAGGTCGGTCATCATTTTTTTTTTTTATTTAATCCTGCAATGAAAACAAAGCAAATAGTGAAACATCTACAATTCTCTTTGTCCCTCACTTCATGTATTTTCTTTTCTTGTGTTTATACTCATTCTTATAGTTATGGCCAGACAATGGTATCTTGGGCAAATGAATCATTTTCCACTTGTCAATAGCTAATCACATAATATCAAAGTTTATAAATGAAGCCCACTTTGGTCCCACAAAAATTGAAAAAAAAGATTAATTCAAAGTTGATTAGAAATACACAAGAACACACACAAGTATATTATTCTCAAAATATTTAATTAGAATACAAAACATTTATGAACTTATCAAAAATAAAAGTTAAAGAAACTTCCATTATATATATTAAAGGTGGTAATATTTTTAAATTGTAGAGCTTAATTCCTCTGCCCAAACACTGAAGCGTTCTTTTATAAAGTACTAAACCATTTGAAGTTCCAATGTTTAAGTTAATGTATTTAAAAAAAAAAAAAGATGATTTTTTGTAATATAATCTTTGCAAATGTTAAACTATTGGTTAATCATAGTTTATTGGTTAAACTATTTATTGGTTAATCATAGTTTATTGGTTAAACTATTTATTGGTTAATCATAGTTTATTGGTTAAACTATTTATTGGTTAAACTACTGGATCAAAGATGAGGAAGTACTTATTAAATTGATATGAAGTTAATTTGTTTCAAATCTAAAATTATTCTTGCTAACAGCAAAATCTCATTAACTCTGAAACAGTATTTTTAACAACTTATGTTTAAAATAATCTAGAGAAGGAACAGTAAGTCAGTATTAAATTATATTCTCATTGTCTAGATTGGAAGTATTTTTATTATACACACACTACAAAGTAACCTGGAAATAATTCAAATTACTTAACCAATAATTTTTGTTTTGCATTTTTTTTAGAAGTAATTATATTCCTAGTAAATTGAAATCATATTCTTAAAAGTAAAAAAATATATTGTATTAAAATTAAATAGAATGTTTGGGATCTTAGTGATTAATTAAAAATCTAAGAAAGAAAAGCTCATGAATATCGAATGTGTAAAATATACAATTTATGACAATTTATATTTCAAGATGTTGATGCACACTTTTTTTCAATTATGATAGACTGAATCAAAAATTTTATAAAAATAAAAATGCTAAAAACTTAAAATTTTATCTTAATTACAATATTATTAATTTTTCTTTTAAATTTAAATAACCTGGATATCAATTCAGTTAAACAATTAGGTAAAAACAATTGAGAGATCTTGGAGAAAAGGTATGCATTTATATTTTAGACAGTAACTACACAGTTCTTTAGCTCATATGGGTTGTTTTGTTGGTTTCCTTGTGTTTTACAGCTTATCAACCTCAATGGGTTATTTAATACCAACAACTTTTTTTTTTTTTGGTAATATTTTGTTTTGTCAAAAATCTATTTCTGGTAATATTTTTTTAACTCAAAAATGTATAGTTGGCAATATTATTTTAAAACATGTATTGCTGGTAATATTTTTTTTTTTTCAAAAATGTATAGTTGGTAATATTTTTTTTCAAAAATATATTGCTGGTAATAGTTTTTTTCTTCAAAAATTTATTTCTGGTAATAATTTTTTTACAAAGTATTTCTGGTATTAAAACCCATTTTTACACTTTTATAATGCTTTTTACCTCAGTTTGGGGGTTAACTATTTGCCCATAGCTGGGACCCTAACAGGTGCTACCACTCCAGGTTAGGGTAGACCTGGGAACACCAGCAATTAAGAGGTGGTTCCACGCTCCTCAAAACCTCCTGATCAGAGGCCTTGCTGTTGGATGTAGTTTATCGTCTTACCCAGGACACGGCTCATATGGGTTGTAGTGCAGAGTGATAAAGCTTATTAGGTTTGAAATGCCAACTTTCATCATGTTGAGTATGTCTGTTTTAATATAAGTCAAGATGTAGTCAATTAAAAAAATTATGGTATTTAAACTAATGTAAGCAGAGTAAAAGCACAATAATAATTGTATCTATATCTACATTTATAATTTCTTCATTGAAAAATAACTTCTTTTTGAAAACATTCAACAAATATTCTATTATTCAGAATTTAATACTTTGCAGATACTAGTTTTCCTTGGTTTTGATGCAACTTAAAATGGACTATCAAAAATATTATCCTAAAAACTCAATCTAAAAAGTATTACCCCATAATAGTTGTGACATTCAAACATTAAATGTTACAAATATTATGGAACAGAGATTGCAATTTACTTCCTGTGAGGTGAGATATTTTTTTTAAGACTAAAAATTAACTTTCAGACCATTTAACTACAACTTTTATCTGGATTATCACATTTATTTTTATTTTTTGATTACCTATATAACAATGTTTTATACTTACTGGTAAATTTTTTCTTACACACTGGACATTCAAATGGTTTCTGGACACTGTGAGAACGAATATGGATCGTGAGATTCTTGGAGAGTGCAAAAGTCTTTTTGCAGACAGGGCAGGAATATTTTGTACCTGGAGGGTGGAAATAAACAAGTTTTGGTGGGACAAGGTGTGAGATGTGAGAAAAGAAATGCAATAAAGAGTGTATTTTAGGAATGAGTTGCTAATAGAAGGGATAAAAAAAATGGAGAAAAATCATTAAAATAAATTTATGGCTATTTGTTTTGTTCCCAATTTTTATGTATGTTTTTTTACCAAATATTCAGTAAATTTTATTCATTGTATCCCAATTTTTATTGAGACAAAGTATCAAGTGGAGCATACAGTTTAAATCCTTGATTTAAATCCTAAATTGATTGAAAATGTAATAAAGAATTGATAAAAGTGAAAAAAAAAAAAAAAAAAAAAAAAAAAAAAAACTACAAAAAAATACAAACAAGAGTTGTTTCCTTAAAAGTCTTTGATAATAAAATTTTTGAGATCAAAACACTTATTATAAAAAATGTAAATATTAGAATTAAAAAAATCTTTAAAAAATTAACTGGGAAGTATCTATACATTTATAATTTCTTCATTGAAAAATAACTTGACTGGGAAGCCATTTTGATGATGTCTGTTACTACTATTTTTTGCATTACTTAAAAACTTAATAGTCATCACATATGTACTAAAGTGTCGAGGGTTAAATCTCTTGTAATGTGTAACAACATATCATTATAATAAGCATCTACTGTTAGAGAGGGATTCTTCGGTGAAAGAAAAGATTATTATATCTTACTTTACAAATATGGTTTATATATATAACATTATATATATATATATATATATATATTTTTAATGTTACTTTTATTAAAAATATTTTATATTGTGACACAGAAATTTCAGTTTCAAGACTTACTGTTTTTATCTTGTTATCAGGCAATGTTCGGTAACTTTGGTGAAAACGATTTACATTTGAAAATATAAAACAATATATTTGTTTACTAAAGAGTTAATATGGAGGTAGGGGGATCCAGATTTTTAGATCTTATGGGTGTGTCAATTTTAACTAATCAGAAGGAAGGTCAATGCTAAATTTGAAAAGTTAAAAATATAAGTTAGATGTTGGGGGATGTGTGGTATTCATACATGTCTTGGGGAACTGTCATATTAAAAAAAAAAAAGCAAATGCCAGAGATATGTGGAATCTAAATCTGTTCTTTCTGTTCATTTGTATATATATATATATATATATATATATATATATATATATATATATCTTTTCATACTTAAAAAACAAAGCTATTAATTATATTAGTTTAGGGATATAGTAATGCATAAAAGTATTTGACAATATTTTTTAAGAAAATAATTTCTATTATTGCTACTATTTGAGTAAATACTTAGAATATACTATGTATAGAGAGAAATAAATGGTTTACCTACACACAAATTTATTGAAAAATAAAGCAATATGTAAAAGTTTTGAATGCAAATCAATAAACACTATTCAATATTTAATGGAGTATCTGTTATTTAATATGACAGCTGTTTGACATTTGAAATAATTTTTAGAAATTAACACCAATTTTATTTCAGTTTATTTGACAAATCACCTTAAAAAATGAAGCATTAGTGTTTCCTCGGATAAATTTTAAAATGAAAGAGTGGCTCTAGGCAAAGAAAATAAGAATTTTAGAGTGACCTTGTTATTTACCTGACCTAATTTCCATATCTGGAGATCATTCAGAAGTGGTTGTGCCTTATTTTCCAATAAATGAATCTAGCTTCTTAATCTCTTACTTTATGAGGTCATCAAGGCAGACTGATATTCAGATCATTTTATTTCTATTTTCAAATTGGAAATTTTTTGATGAATATGATGGTCTGTTATCTCTTTAGTATTTACCATTGTAATAACTTTTTGCATGTCTCTGCTAGATCTTTAATGGCTGCTAAAATGACATGTAAATGCTGTACATTGTTGATAATGATTGGTTGGCAGAAATTTAAAATTAATAATTTGAATAGAAATCAATCCTAAACTGCAATGTTTGCCCTTGTTCTTCTATCTTTTCAGAATGTGTTTGGTATGTTATTTTCTGTTGTATTTGTTAATAAATTTATGCAGGCAAGCATTATTTATTTCTTCTTACACAGTATATCCCAAGTATTTACTATATTTAACTCAAGGTTTTGGTTAGTAATAATAACAAAAATTACTCTTTTCTTAAAAAAATCCTGCATCTAATATGTTTACAGAATTCTATATAACCTGTTTTTGAACTTGTGTAAAGGAAGGCAAATCAACCAATGATTTGATATTTACAATGAGTTCCTGATACAATAGATTGAATAAGAAAAAGGAAATATATAAAGGGCCTTAGTGGAATATGTATTGAATTCTTAAATGAAAAATGTGCTTAAAAATCAACCTAAAAACAAGCAGAATAAAAATCATTTGCCTTAATAAAAAGAAAAATGTATGTGTGTATATGTAATAAAAGCCTTTTGAAGGATAGGTTTATTTACATCATAAAGGTTTCTAAACTGATAAAAATGTATAAAATTCATTTGTTTTTAATAAAATTACAATCTGATGAAAGTAAATTATATTTTGCCTAACAAAATATAATTAAATCTAGTTTCAAAGAAATAAAACTTCATTCCAAACACATATAGGATTTCCTCAAAAATACTTTTATTGATTGATAGCTATTGTAGATATCAGAAAATCTCTGGATTTTCTAATTTTACTAGAATAAAAATAATTTAGGAAACAAATCCCCAATGCTAATGCAAATTGTTGTGTTACTAAGAGTTGTGAATGTCTGGAAAATAGAGGAATGTAGTAATCAGCAGAGGGAGTGGGGTGGAGAGTTGCAGAGTTTCTGGAGAAAGAGAGAAAGATAGAAAGAGATTTGTCAATACTGTGAATTTTAAAAAAAAAAATCATACTGTTAAAAATGTGGGGAATATAACATATACAAAATATCTTATTTGGAAGAAAGTTTAAAACTCCAATTTAAAGTGACAGCAATCAAGGATTAAAAAATTAGTTAATAAAAGGTGAAAAGGTTAACAAGTTCTTTTTTTTGGTTGTCTACTTGAAGAACTTTATGCATGAAATTATCACATCTAAAACATCTGACTTCCTAGTTTGTATCCATTTCTCAAACCTGTTTATGTATCATTAACTTATAAAACCAACTGTAATGCTGAATTTAACTCTTGGTTGGCACAAAGATTTATGAAATGGCTGTTTATCAACAATATCTTTTCCACTTTACCTGGCACAACAGATCTTTAACTGTAAATGAAATCTGTCAGTCTAGATTCAAGAAGTATTCAAATATATTTCTATAATTTTTGTTTAAATCTTTTTAGACAGTGTTGTAACTATTGTTCATTCAGATTAATTTCTTTGTTTTTTATGCTTATAGAGAGTGGTTCCCAGCTGATTTTGGGCTATACCCCACTTTGGTATTTCTAAAATTCTGGTGGACATCCATGAAAGAGAAAAATTTAAAAAAATCAAAAATACAGTTAAATATATGTAGTTTCAAAACACATAATAGAGAACTGAAAGGCAAAAATATAAAATATTTGGATGAAAACTTATTCTATAATATACTTTGATCATTTTTAATCATGAAATAATAATGCAAAATGAAATCTGAGGTCACTAGAAAACAATTCACTGTTAATAACTCATTCTTGAATTTACCCCTGATTCTGTTGGTATAGTAAGCCGAAAGGTGCACATCCTATGCATGCTCCACCAAAATATTACCATGCCCCACCGGTGGGGCATGTATCCCACATTGGGAATCATTGGCTTATACAGAGTGGGGAAGTAAAACTTGCAAAACCATTAAAATTTCTTTATTAAGTATAAATAGGCTTAGTAATACAAAAGGGATATTAGTAAAACTTAGATAATATTAAAACAAATTCAATGTGGCTTGCATTATTTTCAGTTACAGCCTCAACATGAACTTGAAAAGCTATACAACTCTTAAGCATTCATGGTTAAGAGTTGTATAGCTTGGACGTCTTGGCCTTTTGTGAGGTTTAAAATAACATGAATTGTGAAGCTTACATAGAGGATCCATGATTGAATTGTGAAGCTTACATAGAGGATCCATGATTGTTGAGTAACCTTACCACATTCTTGCAACTTTCCAGCCATTAGGAAGTGCCTTGGTGTATGTATGCCCAGGGTAAATGTATGTTTCCTTAGATGAAAAGGTCAAGATGTGATTAAGAAGAAACAGACAAGGAAATTAGTCCAATAATTTTGTGTATATTTTGTCCATTTTAGTGATTATCACAGATACTAAAAATACTTTTACTCTCCTTTTAATGAACTGTTAAACCCCAAGAAATGAATCCTGGTACTAAGAGTGCTCTAAAGTAAGAGGTCTACCTCAGAAGGATGTAGTTATAGGCTTGAATTGAAGAGAAATATATTTGTAGAAGTCCCAATGAGAAAATGTGCTTTTTTTAATTCCAACCTTGCTCTGTCCGGCTGGTCTCTGTAGCTGAACTGGTAAAGGCACACTTTGGCTCAAAAAAAATGGAAAAAAGGGATGCAGGTTAGATTTGTGTTGAAGGCACAATGTTTCTTTAATAGGACTTCTCAATCTAGTCTGATTGTGATTAATTTCACTGATTAATAAAATAAAAAAAAAACAGGGATAGCAACTCAAACAGGTCGACCGACTAAAAATAATGTTTATAGTAATAAGAAATAATGCTAGATAAAAAATCTTTTCAAAAACTTTTTTATATATATATATATATATATATATATATATATATATATATATATATATAGAGAGAGAGAGAGAGAGAGAGAAAAGAAATATAGTTTTAAGGTGTGCTATATTTATGGGATAAAGTGCTCAATATCAGAGATAGAGCATATGTAAATATAAATATAAAAGTGAACATTGATGATCAACACTCCCAGCATGAAACAGTTTGTCACCTCTGAGTGTTGACTTCAATGTTCACTTTTTTATATATATATATATATATATATATATATATATATATATATATATGAATGAAGGGGATACTGAAAAGTTCTTGGCCTAACCAAGAAGCCATTAGGATAAAAAAAAATCTGGTGTGTGTGTGCAGAGAGAGAGAGAGAGAGAGAGAGAGAGAGAGAAGCTGATCCAATACATACAAAGGTGAAACTGAAAAGTCCTTGGCATGATCAAGAAGGGATTAAAAAATAAATCCCGATGTTTGGTGATTTTGATGCTTGGTCAGATTTTGGGAAGCACAATTCTGGTTGCGAATTTTTAATGTCTTTACCCTATTAGATAATAAAATAAATTGTTGGTTCTCTCAATTATTAAAAACAAATGAATAGCTGAAACTTTGCTCATAAATTCATTTTATTTTGTAATTAAAGTTTATTTTATTAAGTCCCTAAACATTTGGATTATTCTCATTAGCTGATTAAATTTAATTTTTTTAACTTTCTGTTAAGATTTACAAAAAAAAACAAGTCTCAAAGAAACTAGTCATCAGAACAATTATCTTTGTGCAAATATCATTTCATGCAATAGGAGAACCGCCATTTAGAAAAATGTTCTGTAGATACAGCTTTTTTTTTTTATGTATAAGTTGAATAATTATTAAGTGTAAGAAGTTGATTTTATTAAGTTTTAGATGTACCCTATGGTAGAACATTTTTGAATTAGTCCAATTACTGTCATTTATACTTTAGTTTTTGTCTGTCAGAAGTAAGTAACAAACTATATATACCAAAAAGATTACAATTATTCCCAAATTATGATAAATGATAATGAAAGAGATACCTTTAAAATCACAAAATATGTTTTCCATCAGCACCAGTGCACACATACACATGCATGTATGTGACATAATTGCAATAGAGTGGACAATATGCTTCATCTTTATTTCATTTTGCTTTTCATGGTTTCAATGGGGAATGATGATATAGACTGTTCATTACTGTCAAACTCTCTGCCTTGAGCAGAGAGGAACCCGGACGAGGCTTTGCCAAAGTGCAAAGTTTTGTCTGGGGAGGTAGACAGCCCCTGAACCCGTTTATACGGGTTCTAAAGGGAATATTTTTGGCAGAGTCTATGGGCTCGGAGTACCCACAATAAACCGGCCTTGTGCCACATACAACCCACATGGAGGGGGCGGCGTTAAATATAATGGTTTCAATTATTCATAGTCAGCACCAGAAATAAATAATTCATAGACTTTATTTAATAATGATCCCAAAGTGCAAGTAACGATGATGGCAATTCTGATATTTCAAAGAGAAGCCATAAAGTTATTAAGTGAAAAGGTGAAAGTTCTTGAGATAAGGAAAGAAAAATAATACATGCAGAGGTTGTTAAGATCAACAGTAAGTTTGAATTTTAATGTCGTCACAGCTTTTATTAGAATGCATTCTTATCATTGTTCCATTTTGTTGGTAATTATTAATTCCTTTTGTGCTTAATTTATTAATTAAACTTAACCACAGATCCGTATATATAAGATAAAACCTAATATACACATGGCTTGATACTATCTAGTCTTAGGCATCTATTGGGAATCCTGCAACATGTTCTTTGTAGATGTGAGTGAGGGAAACTAGTGTAAATGAATTCACATAATCAATTTTCTCCTGCCTTGGACATTTTCTAGAAATTCATCCCAACTGCTTGATATATACAAAAATAACTAACAAAGGATTTTGTCTCTAATTTTGAAACAGAAAATGCAAAGCAAATATTTTTAACAATAAACTGACAGTAATTTATCTCTGAGAGATACTTCAAGCTATCTATTCTTATATTTCTTCTTCATTTATGATAAAGAAATAATAAGAACAATATTTACTCTGAGTTAAAGAACAGGGAGAAGTGGAAAATGTTAGAGTATAAAATGCTTTTTTGCTTTTGCTAGAAAATAAAATTTCATCCAATCAGGCTTGGCACTTTTATTATTTTATTTAAAAACAAAACAAAATTATAACATTTTCTCTTTTGATACCCATTTATCTCCGTTTCATAATAAAAATATCGCAGAGTTGAAGTTATTAAAGTATTATTAAAAGCAAATTTAACAAATATTTCTGTAATTTGTTAAGTCTATACAAAATGCATGACAATCTTATTAAACAATTTCATTCCAATGGAAAGAGAGACATTTTAAAAGAACACAATGATGTTTAGGAAGTTTTTATTTGTACCAATTGAAGCAGGTATTTCAGACAAAATGTTTTCAGTACCTACCTATTTTATGTGCTTTCATGTGGTTCTGTAAACTTGCAAGGGATGAGTATTCCTTGTTACATTGAGAACAGTGAAAGTTACGTTTGTTAGAATTTGGTTCTATTTCTTGTTCAGATGAATGACACACCAAGAAATGTTTCTGGAGTTCATTTGAATCAGTGAAGTTTTCATGGCAAAACGAGCACTTGACATGCTGGTTAGAGCTGCTGCTGTTGCTGCTGCTGCTGTTGTTGCAGGCACTATTGTTACTTCCACTTTGTTGATGCATACGTCGATGGGCATTGAAGCTGACAATGTTAGAGAAAGTTTGTGGACAATCCTTGCATTGAAGTTCAGACACAGATTCTGGCTTCACATGACTCAACATGTGATTATCGAGTTCAGAACTGAAAAAGAAACGCTGGTTACATTGAATGCACCCAAACTTGCGAGCATGGATGCCATGCTCAAAGGCATGTGCTTGTATATCAGCTGCATTACTGAACACTTTGCAGCAGACACTGCACTGGTATTCAGAGTTTCCATAGGTGTGTTCAATTAAGTGGCATTGTAACTTTGCAGGTGAGTCAAACACTTGAGAACAGAGTTTGCACTCATGCAGATTACCCTCCTGTAGGACATGTGTGGCAACATGAAGCTGAATTTCATATTCTGTACTGAATGACTGCTGGCATTTGATACACTGGTATGTCCTCCTATGCTTTGCAACATGGCTCTCCAGTTGTTCACTAGTTGGGAAACGAGCTCCACACTCTCCACAGTGAAAGTCAGAGGTTTCTCCATGGTAGCAAGGTTTACAGACAAAATAAGTTCGACCAGAGCTATTCAGCTTAGAAATTAGGTTTTCCTTAGAGTCGAATCCCCGTAAACACACACAACATGTGAAGAAGTTGGGTTTTGTTTGGAAGTGGTGTTTGCCATGCATCTGAAGTTCCATCATTGATGCCAGTGTCTGCCTGCAAATGATGCATTGCATGATGGCCCCTTGGAAGCCATGCTCCTGTGAATGGATGTAAAATTGATCCTCAGACTTAAGTGGAACTTTGCAACCAACACAGATATTTCCTTGGGGAATTTTGCAATGCTGCAACTTGTGTTCAGCCAGTGTGTTTGGTGATGGGAACACTTCATCACAGATGTTGCATTTTTGGCTGCTGGAATTCAAGTGAATCTTCATATGACGTTCCAACTCTGTTCTTGATTTGAATGACTGACTACAGTAAGTGCATGACAGTGTCACCTTATCACTATTGGTTGCAACTGGTTTTGTAGTGGATACAATACTTTCTACATTTGATAGCACTGGTGGAGTATGATTAGTGGTCAATGCAACAGATACACGATGATCTTGTTTTTTGTGTAGCTGCAGAGAGGACAAGTTACTGAACTTCATGTCACAAATGTTACAAGTGTGTAGGGGATCAGTGCTTTTCCAAATTCCAGTTCCAGAGGTTGGGATTGAGTTAGACACTTCCATGGCTGTGCAAGCGCTTGATACAACAGGACCAACAACATCTTTCTCAACCTTAATGTCTGTTGATGTACTGCCTATGTGATGAGAGTTCTTTTCAGGGTCATGTTCATTTTGTAAGTGCTTGTCAAGGAGATATTCTACATGGAATGCTTCGCTACACATTGGACATTTAAATGGCTTGCCATGCATTGTCAAGTGGCACTGAAGTTCAACTTCAGTGCTGAACCCTTCCTTGCAGAACAGGCATTTATGTGGCTTGGGCATTTGAAGATGAGCAGAACGCACATGCAGCTGCCAGTCCACTTCTGAGATGAATACAGAGTTGCATTTAGTGCACTTGTAGATCTTGCATTCATTGCTGTGTTTGATTGCAAAATGGACCTGGATGTTGACCTTTGAGTCAAAGATCTCCTTGCAGAGTGAACAGCGGTAGAGGTGGTGGGCGTGAATGTCCATCAGGTGCTTCTGCAGCTCATCAGGCTTGGAGAATGTCTTTATGCAGCTGGTGCAGCCATACTCAGTGCTGAGACAGAGGTAGTGCAGTGACAGATGACTCTCCAGCTGGTCCTCAGTTGTGAATTGCTTCTGGCATTGTGGACACATGTATTGAGTAAGTACAGAGTCCAAGTGAATTTTCAGATGAGCCTGGAAACTTTTTACATCATGGAAAGTAGCATTACATTGGTCACATGTCATCTTTTCCTCTATTATTCGTTCAATGGGGACTGGACTTGACTCTTTACTGTTGCTGAATATTCCTTGTAGGTGAAGACGTTTTATATCCTTTTTGGAATCACTGCTAGTCTTTTTGGACTTGATGGCTTTTGGAACTTTGGGAAGGGGGTTTTCTGGTAAGCAGTTATGAGAGCATTGCAAATGTTCCTGAAACTCCATGGGGTTTTGGAAAAGTAGAGCACACTCTGCACAGTAAAGAGAATGATTTGATGAACTGGCTTGACTGTGAGTGTGCTTCTTATGTTCAGCCAGGGCATCAATACTTGTAAAGTGCCTTGAGCACAAGCTGCATGGATACTTAATGTCCAAACATGACAAATTTTGGTGGACAACTTTCATGTGATCATGCAAGGCATACAAGTTGGGATATGGAGCATTGCAGTAATTGCATGTGTACACTTCTGTTGCCTTCACAGAATGTACGCATTGCATATGAATCTCAAGAAGCTCTAGTGTCTCAAAGTTATCTTGCAGGCAGTAAGGACACACAAGTGCATTCTCCCGGTTTTGTGTGTCTGACATAGATGACGTCTCCATCATTTCCAGTTCTTGTCCATTTTCTGTGATAGAAATATCAGCTGCATTGTTATGCTTGTTACCACCGTTATCATCTTGTGATTTTACACTCTTCTGGAAAATTTCTACATCCGATATATGCTCAATAGCAGCAAATTTGGGTTTCTTCTCTACACTATGCTCCTGTTCAACATGCATGTCAAGAATATCCTGGCTTACAAACATTTCACTACACTGCCCACATTGCAGAGTCTTTTCACGGAGTGGTGCTGGAGCATGGCAATCATTGTAGTGATTCTGCAGATCCTTTGGCTGAGAAAATACCTCATCACACTGGTAACATTTGTATTCCATCTGTCCAGAACTGTTAGGCTTTCTATGTGAGTACATGTGTGATGATAATGCAGCCGCTGTTGTGTAACCTCGGTTACACACCGTACACTTGAAGGGCTTCCCAGTATCGTGTGTGCGCAAGTGGCTTTTCAAATGATCACTCCTACAAAATGAATCACAAAATTTAATTAAAAAAATTTCAAAGCCAAAATTTAAAATATTTTCTAAAATTATTATTACTGAGTGTAATATTAAAAAGATAATGAAGTGAATAATATTTGATGTACATGGGTAAATTATTGCTATTTTATATTTTTAATTTCATGCATGAGTATTGTTTGATCTTGATTTTGTCGACTGCACAGTATAGTAGGGTCAGTTGGGCACCGTCTGTGAGAAAAATAGAACCATGTTGCAATTCACTCCACCAGAAATTTGAAAACGGCATACTGTACTGCTTGGCATTCATGCCGGGAGCTCCAATATGATCATTTCAGAGTGTTTGGGTGTTTATATGAGGAGAGTGAAGAGGATTCAGAAAGAGTTGGATGAGTCTACTGATGATTATGAATGTATGGCAGCTGAGAAAACTCACTCTGATCATTCTGATAAGAAAAGAACTCCCAAATTTGTTGGTAAGGGCCTCAGACTAAACATGGAAGGTACATCAAGTGCTTTGAGAAGGTAGTTCTGCCCTGAGTCAAGAGGGTGGCTACTGAAAGACCCTATGTCTGGAAACAGGACTCTGCACCATGCCACACAAGCAAGAGAAGCTTGTCATGGTTGTCAGACAATTTCTGTGACCACATCACCCCTTACATCTGGCCACCTAACTCCCCAGACTGCAATCCCCTTGATTATTATGTATGGGGCACAGTTGAGTGAGAGACCAACAAAATCCCTTGTAACACCAAAGATGAACTGAAGGCAATGATTATGGCAGCATTCACCAACTTAAACAAGGAGACCATTTAAAGAGATGCAGGAGATTCTGAAGTCGTCTGGAGGCTGAAGTTGAAGCCAAAGGCGATTTTATTGAATATATTAACTCTTTAGTATTTCAAGATATTTTTGTGTAATAGACGACAATTTATCCATTTCACTCTGTATTTGGACTTAGCTTAATACGACTTTATTGGAAAAGTTTTATTTTGTCTAATTCATATTTAACAGAACAGTTAATGAAATGTTGAAAGAGAAAAAATACATGTAATAAAAAATAAGTTGAGAAGACTAGTTAATTATGTAAATTAAACAGTTTATTGTATGTAAATTTTGTCATGCTTTTAATGGAGAAATTAGTGGCTGTTTCTGTTGTCAGCATATGGAAAGCTGAAATATTAAATTAAAAATATTCCCATAAACATTGTTGAACTTCACAAGCTTCAAGCTATAAATAAAAAAATTTAATTTTCATAAAGTCTCTAACTTATAATTTCATATAGTATGATACATCTAAGTAATAACAGAAAAAAAATCTAGAAAGAATGATTTTCTATCAAATAGATCCAATAAAATTAATACCAAACATTTAAACATTCAATATAACTAAAACAAAACTTCAGAATAATTTTAAGTATTTTTCAAACAAAAATCTATAAATTTTGAATGGTTATCAATACTTTTCCAGGTTCTTTTAAAGTAACATTTCAATCTTTAAAAATAAATTATCTTAAAAGATCATATTGTAAATTAAAAAAGCATCTTAAGCAACATTACTGAAATGTCCTTAAAAAAAAAGAAAAAAAAAAAAAAAGGAAAAGAAACGTCAAAAGTATTTTCAGTCAATGTATTTATATAATTAATTTTTTAAATTAAGAGAAAGTTAAATGGGTAGAGAAAAGGAAAGAGAGGAAAAGAAGGAGAGAAAGAAGAAGAGGAAGGTAATAGAAAGGGAAAAAAGGCGAGAAAGGGAAGGAAGGACAAGAAAGGGAAGGAAGGACAAGAAACAGGTAAACGGGAAAGAAGGACTAGAAAGTGAGAAAGGGAAAGAAGGACTAGAAAGAGAGAAAGGGAAAGAACAACAAGAAAGGGAGAAAGGAAAATAAAGACAAGATAGAGGGAAAGGAAAAGAAGGACATGAAAGGGAGAAAGAAAAAGAAAGAAAAAGAAAGACAAGAAAGGGAGAAAGAAAAAGAAAGACAAGAAAGGGAGAAAGAAAAAGAAAGACAAGAAAGGGAGAAAGAAAAAGAAAGACAAGAAAGGGAGAAAGAAAAAGAAAGACAAGAAAGGGAGAAAGAAAAAGAAAGACAAGAAAGGGAGAAAGAAAAAGAAAGACAAGAAAGGGAGAAAGAAAAAGAAAGACAAGAAAGGGAGAAAGAAAGAGAAAGACAAGAAAGGGAGAAAGAAAGAGAAAGACAAGAAAGGGGAAAAAAAAAAGAAAAGACAAGAAAGGGAGAAAAAAAAAGAAAGACAAGAAAGGGAGAAAAAAAAAAGAAAGACAAGAAAGGGAGAAAGAAAAAGAAAGACAAGAAAGGGAGAAAGAAAAAGAAAGACAAGAAAGGGAGAAAGAAAAAGAAGGAAAAGAAAGAAGGACAAGAAAGAAAGACGGACAAGAAAGAGAGAAAGGAAAAGAAGGACAGGAAAGAGAGAAAGGAAAAGAAGGACAGGAAAGAGAGAAAGGAAAAGAAGGACAGGAAAGAGAGAAAGGAAAAGAAGGACAGGAAAGAGAGAAAGGAAAAGAAGGACAGGAAAGAGAGAAAGGAAAAGAAGGACAGGAAAGAGAGAAAGGAAAAGAAGGACAAGAAAGAGTAAAAGGGAAAGAAGGACAAGAAAGAGTAAAAGGGAAAGAAGGACAAGAAAGAGTAAATGGGAAAGAAGGACAAGAAAGAGAGAAAGGGAAAGAAGGACAAGAAAGATAAAGAAGAACAATAAAGAGATAAAAGAGAAAAGAAGGACAAGAAAGAGATAAATGGGAAAGAAACACAATAAAGGGAGAAAGGAAAAGAAGGACGAGAAAGAGGGAAAGGAAAAGAAGGACGAGAAAGAGGGAAAGGAAAAGAAGGACGAGAAAGAGGGAAAGGAAAAGAAGGACGAGAAAGAGGGAAAGGAAAAGAAGGATGAGAAAGAAGGAAAGCAAAAGAAGGACAAGAAAGAGATAAAGTGGAAAGAAAGACAAGAAAGAGATAAATGCGAAAGACGGACAAGAAAGAAGGGAAGGGTAAGAAGGACAAGAAAGAAGGGAAGGGTAAGAAGGACAAGAAAGAAGGGAAGGGTAAGAAGGACAAGAAAGAAGGGAAGGGTAAGAAGGACAAGAAAGAGGGAAAGGATAAGAAGGACAAGAAAGAGGGAAAGGAAAAGAAGGACAAGAAAGAGGGAAAGGAAAAGAAGGACAAGAAAGAGGGAAAGGATAAAAAAGACAAGAAAGAGGGAAAGGAAAAGAAGGACAAGAAAAGGGAAAGGAAAAGAAGGACAAGAAAGAGGGAAAGGAAAAGAAGGACAAGAAAGAGGGAAAAGGAAAAGAAGGACAAGAAAGAGGGAAAGGGAAAGAAGGACAAGAAAGAGGAAAAGAAAAAGAAGGACAAGAAAGAGGGAAAGGAAAAGAAGGACAAGAAAGAGGGAAAGGAAAAGAAGGACAAGAAAGAGGGAAAGGAAAAGAAGGACAAGAAAGAGGGAAAGGAAAAGGAAAAGAAAGAGAGAAAGGGAAAGAAGGAAAAGAAAGAGAGAAAGGGAAAGAAGGACAAGAAAGAAGGACAAGAAAGAAGGACAAGAAAGAAGGACAAGAAAAAAAGAAAGACGGACAAGAAAGAGATAAAAAAGGAAAGAAGGACAAGAAAGAGGGAAAGGATAAAAAGACAAGAAAGAGGGAAAGGAAAAGTAGGACAAGAAAGAGGGAAAGGAAAAGGAAAAGAAAGAGAGAAAGGGAAAGAAGGAAAAGAAAGAGAGAAAGGGAAAGAAGGAAAAGAAAGAGAGAAAGGGAAAGAAGGACAAGAAAGAAGGACAAGAAAGAAGGACAAGAAAAAAAGAAAGACGGACAAGAAAGAGATAAAAAAGGAAAGAAGGACAAGAAAGAGGGAAAGGATAAAAAGACGAGAAAGAGGGAAAGGATAAAAGGACGAGAAAGAGGGAAAGGAAAAGAAGGACGAGAAAGAGGGAAAGCAAAAGAAGGACGAGAAAGAAGGAAAGCAAAAGAAGGACGAGAAAGAAGGAAAGCAAAAGAAGGACGAGAAAGAAGGAAAGCAAAAGAAGGACGAGAAAGAGGGAAAGCAAAAGAAGGACAAGAAAGAGGGAAAGCAAAAGAAGGACGAGAAAGAGGGAAAGCAAAAGAAGGACAAGAAAGAGGGAAAGCAAAAGAAGGACAAGAAAGAGGGAAAGCAAAAGAAGGACAAGAAAGAGGGAAAGCAAAAGAAGGACAAGAAAGAGGGAAAGGAAAAGAAGGACAAGAAAGAGGGAAAGGAAAAGAAGGACAAGAAACAGGTAAAAGGGAAAGAAGGACAAGAAAGAGATAAAGTGGAAAGAAAGACAAGAAAGAGATAAATGCGAAAGAATGACAATAAAAGGAGAAAGGGAAAGACGGACAAGAAAGAGAGAAAGGGAAAGACGGACAAGAAAGAGAGAAAGGGAAAGACGGACAAGAAAGAGAGAAAGGGAAAGACGGACAAGAAAGAGAGAAAGGGAAAGACGGACAAGAAAGAGAGAAAGGGAAAGACGGACAAGAAAGAGAGAAAGGGAAAGAAGGACAAGAAAGAAGGGAAGGGTAAGAAGGACAAGAAAGAAGGGAAGGGTAAGAAGGACAAGAAAGAGGGAAAGGGTAAGAAGGACAAGAAAGAGGGAAAGGGTAGGAAGGACAAGAAAGGGAGAAAGGAAAAGAAGGACAAGAAAGAGGGAAAGCAAAAGAAGGACAAGAAAGAGGGAAAGGATAAAAAGACAAGAAAGAGGGAAAGGATAAAAAGACAAGAAAGAGGGAAAGGATAAAAAGACAAGAAAGAGGGAAAGGATAAAAAGACAAGAAAGAGGGAAAGGATAAAAAGACAAGAAAGAGGGAAAGGAAAAGAAGGACAAGAAAGAGGGAAAGGATAAAAAGACAAGAAAGAGGGAAAGGATAAAAAGACAAGAAAGAGGGAAAGGATAAAAAGACAAGAAAGAGGGAAAGGAAAAGTAGGACAAGAAAGAGGGAAAGCAAAAGAAGGACAAGAAAGAGGGAAAGCAAAAGAAGGACAAGAAAGAGGGAAAGGAAAAGAAGGACAAGAAACAGGTAAAAGGGAAAGAAAGACAAGAAACAGGTAAAAGGGAAAGAAAGACAAGAAAGAGATAAAGTGGAAAGAAAGACAAGAAAGAGATAAATGCGAAAGAATGACAACAAAAGGAGAAAGGGAAAGACGGACAAGAAAGAAGGGAAGGGTAAGAAGGACAAGAAAGAAGGGAAGGGTAAGAAGGACAAGAAAGAAGGAAAGGATAAGAAGGACAAGAAAGAGGGAAAGGAAAAGAAGGACAAGAAAGAGGGAAAGGAAAAGAAGGACAAGAAAGAGGGAAAGGAAAAGAAGGACAAGAAAGAGGGAAAGGAAAAGAAGGACAAGAAAGAGGGAAAGGAAAATAAGGACAAGAAAGAGGGAAAGGAAAATAAGGACGAGAAAGAGGGAAAGGAAAAGAAGGACGAGAAAGAGGGAAAGGAAAAGAAGGACGAGAAAGAGGGAAAGGAAAAGAAGGACGAGAAAGAGGGAAAGGAAAAGAAGGACGAGAAAGAGGGAAAGGAAAAGAAGGACAAGAAAGGGAGAAAGGAAAAGGAGGAAAAGAAAGAGAGAAAGGAAAAGGAAAAGAAAGAGAGAAAGGGAAAGAAGGACAAGAAAGAAGGACAAGAAAAAAAGAAAGACGGACAAGAAAGAGATAAAAAAGGAAAGAAGGACAAGAAAGAGGGAAAGGAAAAGAAGGACAAGAAAGTGGGAAAGCAAAAGAAGGACAAGAAAGAGGGAAAGGATAAAAAGACAAGAAAGAGGGAAAGGAAAAGAAGGACAAGAAAGAGGGAAAGGAAAAGAAGGACAAGAAAGAGGGAAAGGAAAAGAAGGACAAGAAAGAGGGAAAGGAAAAGGAAAAGAAAGAGAGAAAGGAAAAGGAAAAGAAAGAGAGAAAGGAAAAGGAAAAGAAAGAGAGAAAGGAAAAGAAGGAAAAGAAAGAGAGAAAGGGAAAGAAGGACAAGAAAGAAGGACAAGAAAGAAGGACAAGAAAAAAAGAAAGACGGACAAGAAAGAGATAAAAAAGGAAAGAAGGACAAGAAAGAGGGAAAGGATAAAAAGACAAGAAAGAGGGAAAGGAAAAGAAGGACAGGAAAGAGAGAAAGGAAAAGAAGGACAAGAAAGGAAAAGAAGGAGAGAAAGGGAAAAAAGAAGAGGAAAAGAAGGAGAGAAAGGGAAAAAAGAAGGTAAAAAGAAACAAAGGGAAAGAAGGTAAAGAGAGAGAGAGAGAGAGAGAGAAAAAAGAAACAGTGGCTAAAGATTAACACTGATTATAATGTAACAATAAAATTTGCATTCTATCTTAATGTGTGCAATTTCAATAAAAAAAAATAAGAAAAAAAGCAAGTCACTGATGACAGGAAAAATGTGTGTAAATATGCTACATATATAAGGCTAGAGAGAAAAAACCTGGTTAGAGATAGATGAGAAGTAAATATAGGAGAAGGAGAAGGCAAAGCATATTTGGTGAAGACATGCACAATTTATGTGTAAATGAAAAGTGATTTTTAATAGACAAAGTGTGAAAATGAGGTTCAAAGAGAGCAAAGGAATTACAGAAAGGAAAAAGAATATTTTAAAGGCAAGAAAACAGAAAGAACGCATGCCTGTCTGAAAGAAAGAGAGAAGAAATGCAGAGTCCTCACCTTGCAAATGCAGCATCACACTGTGAACACTTATACTTTTTGTCCCCTGTGTGTAACTTGATGTGTCTGTCTCGGCTACGTTTGTGTCGGAACAGGCGGCTGCAATAGCTACAGCGGAATGGCATCAGTTCTCCATGTTCCTAACATGCAGTAAAGGAAGAAATTAAGAACAAATGTGGAAGAAAAGAAAAAGAAGAGAAAAGACAAAATAATTGACACTGATATCAATAATAGCATTAGGGTGATGATGATGATCATGATGATGTAGATATGAGAAACTAAAAATATGAAGGAGGAAACAAAGAACAACCCCCCCCCCAAAAAAAACAAGAAACCCAAATCAGTTATAATAATGTCATAAATCTAAAATATTACAATTCTGTGATAATTTGAGTTAGTTCTTGTAGCAGTATTAATATATTTTGTGTGCATGAGCAACAAGTCACATTGGATTAAACCAATGTTACCATGCCTCACATATACAGCAACACTGAACAATGTGCCAAGGTGTAATAAAATGCCACAAAATACAAACCAGATATTATCAAATAATATTAGAGAGAAAATAAGCATAACCAATATGTAGTTTCATTTTTGAAGAGGTACTGAATTTTCTTTTTAATCTTTGTGGTCCCTGTGAGACTTTCTTAGATAACACTAATCTCTTTTCAATATAAATATTATTTTCTGACATACTGCAAAGCTCAAAAACAACTCATGAAGGAACAAGTTCATGAGGATGGCTTATGATACTAATAAGTATTACATTACAGCAGATATTCAACATTTCAGTTTGTTTGCTTTTTATTATCAGTGATAAAACTCCTCTAATATTTACTGGACCAGAATAGCTTTCAACGTTGTATATCGGTTAGGTTGATTTCTTGGGCTAATGACCTCAATCACTCTTTATTGACCAGCCACCTTTTCCTAATTATCAAATGTGGCATCTGTTCTTATAATTAATGGAAAAGACACCTAGTCATCCCTATATAAGTTCTTTGATACAATTCTGAAAGAGTAATGATATATATATATATATATATATATATATATATATATATATATATATATACACACACATACCCAAGTATAGATTGGTGTATATGGAATAAATTCCAATAACCAACAAATACTATTCTTAAGAGTGCTCAATACAGAGTAGAGCAAATATAATTATTTATTTGAAAATTATAACATAATATAATATATATAATTTATGCTATAATTTTCGAATAAATAATATAATGGAGATTATATATATATATATATATATATATATATATATATATATATATATCTCCATGACATATACATAAAAAATATGCATGTATGAAACTGAAGTAATATCATCATTGCAACAGAAAATGTATCACTCATTTTTCATCATCCTCTGCTTACTTAAAATTCATCAAAAGTATCAATCATATTTGATAGAATTACAATCTCCATAGATTCAATGCATGTTTTCTTTTTTCATCCATTTGTGCTTGATATGAAAATTTCAATTAATAAAATCACAGTATTATTATTGTCACTATTATAACACTATTTCATTCTTACTATGATTGTTATTCATAATTACTTTTGTTTTGCAACTTTTTTTCTTGTTTTCTCCGTCAGGCTATCTTGCCCAAGAAATACCACTTCTACTGTAGCTGCAATACACATGGTGCCCCTATGACTATGGGTCATGAGATAAAAATAAAATGTTTGTTTGGAAATAACATCATTTCAAAAAATACAAGTTAATACAAATTGTTATACTTAAGAATAATGTTATTTATAGGCCAGTATTTTTATTCATTTTTTTATAACAATCACATTGCTAAAATAAATTATTCATCATGCCTTCCATAATGCCAAATGAAGAATTAAAAATATTTTAATGGGGAAAAATTAAATGATAAAAATATTATATTATTGGAATTTTGGTCAGAGGTTGTTTAGGATAGTCCTTTTCGAAGTTCCAGATCACATTCTTCCTCTTGTGATTCCAGGGTTTTTTTTTTTAATTTACTCCTGTATTTTGAATTCTCTTCAAATCATTTTTTCACCATTATGCTTTTATAGTAATAATTAAGTTTACAAAAACTAAATCAAGCTTTTAAAAATCATAAATAACTGAATAGTCCCAAATTCAATTAAGTCTGAAGCATTTTGTAAAATTATTTCTAGTTGTGTATATTGGTATTTAATTTTATACCCTCCTCCTGCACAAAAAGTGTATGAGTACATTCCTTCTCTCTGGAGTTCCTCTCATGTCTGAAATTCCTCCCTTGGCAAAAATTCCTCCTTAAATATGAAATTCCTCTCCAAGGTGCCAAAAGCATCCCATTTGAGGATTTTAGAGCTCATTTATACAATATACCATCATTGTTAAAATGCCTACAAATTAAAAACATTTTTTTCAAAAAATATATAATATAAAAAGGAAAAAAAGATGTGAGTGTACAGTATAAGTTGACTTCTGATTTACATAAAATAAAGTTTTAATAATTAGTAAATATATCCACAATTTAGTGCAGAGTACAAGGCTAAAAACATTCACTTCATATTGCAGTAAAATACAATGGATATTAATTATAAAAACTAGAAATTGTGATATGAAAAATAATATATTTGCCTTATTTTGCTTCCAGTTTTAAAAGAAACTATAATAGCCACATCCAAGACAAAGAAACAATACTAAGACTCATTCTTAGCATGCACACTCCAAACTCCTCATTCTTAGCATGCACACTCCAAACTCCTCATTCTTAGCATGCACACTCCAAACTCCTCATTCTTAGCATGCACACTCCAAACTCCTCATTCTTAGCATGCACACTCCAAACTCCTCATTCTTAGCATGCACACTCCAAACTCCTCATTCTTAGCATGCACACTCCAAACTCCTCATTCTTAGCATGCACACTCCAAACTCCTCAGGTGTCAGGTTATTGACAAAATAATAAAAAAAATTTTTTTTAGCAATTTTAAAATGTTGTTTTCCATTATTATACAGTGGGCTTACAAGCAGACATTTGGCATGTTTGGAACATTTCCCAAGTGATATGTACTATATTTAATCTGCAAGTACAAAGTCTTGGAATTTCAGAACTGGTCTAACTTTGTTCCAACTCCAACTATTTGTCAAGTTATGATCATTATGAAGTTAATCTAATGTCATACATCTTTAATCAGTTGTGTTTGGATGATCAATCTTGGATAGTTGCTTCTTCTGCCTCTCCCCCCACTCCCAGAAAAGTCATTAGAATCTTATTCATTACTGTTATAAGTGACAGGCAGTTTTTTAACTTGACACTTTTTCAAAAAACACTTATATCAAGTGAATTCTGCGACTATACAAAATTCAGTCAAACTAACACAACCTTTTGATATATTTTGCCTGTTTTTTTTTTTTGTCTCTGACCCCCCCATACTTCAAATTATGCTAATAAAAAATGCCCACGACAATTTTACTCATATAATAAAACAATTTAAATCTGCAAAATGCAAAACAAATTATTTACACTATTTACAGTGTTTGTACTGTTGCCCTCATCTTTGTTGCCATATTCACGAAGTTTCGGTTGTTATACTCTTCGGCCTTCTTCAGGCTCTGTCTATATTTCTGAGATGAGGTAGTGTAATTATTTACATTGTACTATTGTCCTTATCTGTGTTGCCATATTCATGACGTTTCAGTCCAGTGGATAAAAACATTGGTTGAAGTAATCCAGTGATTTGACTCAAAGAGTTATGGGTTCAATACCTGGCTACAGCACAGGTGAACAATAACTTGGAGAGTTGAGTTAAAAGGGAGATAACTGATACTGAGTTATCTGGAAGTGGCATGACATAGCAACTAGAACAACGTACCCCGGTGGATGAAATAAAGGGTTTGGTTTGAAATTCCAATTGCCTGAAGAAGGCTGGAGTGTACAACGGCCGAAACACTGTGAATATGGCAATGAAGATGAGGACAACAGTCTGAATAATGTATATAGTATAAATAATTACAATACCTCACCTCAGAAATATAGACAGATATTGCAAAAAAATTGTTCTGAGGAAAATATTTAAAATGTACTCAGTTCCTTTCAGACATTAAATTGCTCATTACACACATTTGGTACCATGTGCTGGGCACCAAATATCAGGATTCAACATAACTTTCCTTGTATAAATCAGAAAATCTACTGCTGTGTTTTTTTTTATGCTGAATCTATTGGGGACTAAATCCCCAAGTTAAAATGGGTTAAATGCAAAATTTAAGCTTTGTGGGTGGAAGAATTTTGGCTCTTTACTTCAATCCAGGGTTTCTAGATGTAAACTCACATTTTTAAATTAAAAATATGTAATTTTTTTTCAATTTTCTTCTTAAGTACAAATAAGCTTTCATAGTTGAGCTGAAATTCATTCAATGGAGTTAAAAACCACAAATGTCCACTTGGCTCTACTGTGAAAGTTCACAGTATATTAAACTTTATCAATGTAAATGCTTAATATTTTTTTCTCAAAATTTTAAAGTTATTAACACCGGAATGAAATTAGGTAAACTTTTTTTCGAGAAATAAAATAACCTGATATTTGAAAGTTACAACAGTTTTGTTTGTCCCAAAATTTGACATACATAAAGCTAATTCCGAGATGAGGTATTGTGTACACTATTTACATTGTTCGGACTATCCTCCTCATCTTTGTTGCCAGATACCTCTTCTGAGTAAGACCCCCCCCCATAAAGGAGAACATGACTAAAGACTGTGTGTATGCCATCCTGTGCAGTTGTGGAAAGAAATATAAATGGGAGACAGACTGCCCCCTTAAGTTAAGGCTTCAAGAACACTAAAAAGCTGTAACACAAGAGGAAGTGGAAAAAAATCAGACATGGCTGAGCACATATGGAGAGAAAAGGGAGATCACTGTTCATTGTGGAATCAGGTTGAAATCATAGACAAAGAACATCATTGGAAAATTCGTAAACTTAAGGAATCAGCACATATGGTAGGCCACAAAAATCTGCTGTGCCAACCAAGCATAGAAATGAATACAATATGAGAACCAGTAATAAGGAGTGCCAGAGAAAAGCAATAATAACAATGAAAATTACAGTATGAGCTCTGGTAAAAAAAACATGCAATGATAACAGCAAAAAAAAAAAAAAAAAAAAAAAAAAAGACCCAAAGAGTGCAAGTTCAATACCTGGTTAAGACAGTAGAGAGGGGAATTAACAGGAGATAACTGATAACTGACATCCATTAGACATGGCATGTGGAACTAGAACAGTCTACCTCAGTGAGTGAAATAAAGAGTTCAATTAGACATTCCAACCACCTGAAGAAGGCCAGAGTGTACAATGGCCGAAATGTTGATAAACATGGCAACAAAGATGAGGATGATAGTCCGAACAATGTAAATATTGTATAAAGCTAATTCTTGTCTACAGAACAGACCCAAAATAGTTGTAGTAATTTTGTAGAGTTAGAAAAGAGTTATATATATATATATATATATATATATATATATATTTTACTATTTAATTACCTTTAGTTTTTATATACTTTTTATATATTTTTTACTATATAATTACCTTTTTTTTTATATATATATATATATATATATATATATATATATATATATATATATATATATATATATATTTTTTTTACTATTTAATTACATTTAGTGGGGTCATGATATATTTTTGGTCAGTTTTGGGAAGAGGGCCAGGCTGAGAAATTTTCAGTACTCTCTTGAACATATTAAAAGGAGAAATGCTTATAAGCTGTTAAAATATTAACAACATGCACTTCAATAGGCAGATGTTGATAAGAAAGTTATGCAATAAGATAATATTAACAATTAACAAATGATACTGGAATAAGGGAAAGATGCCATGTAAGTAAATTGACTCACCTGTTCATGTAGCTTTAGGTAACTATGGCGAGGAAATGCTTTCTCACAATGAGGACAGCCATAAGGATTTGTTTCACACACTCCAATACTAAAGGGAAGTTGATCTGGGGAAATATTCTCAACTCCTGGAGAGGCTGGTGACTCACTTTGGCCACTTGGACTATGCCCACCATTATCAAGAGAGCACGAAGAAGATGGAGTTGCTGAACCACTTGGCTCACTCAGGTCCATATCACAGGCCAAGTCATCAGGATGTTCTGCAAAACAAAAAAGTAAAACATAAATAAAACAAAAAACAGTCATCTTGTTTACAATATTTACATGCAGACCATCATCTTTTTGTAATATAAAAATATTAAAAAAAATCAAGCTACATGTAACAATGTGGTGACTTGTATTTGCTCATTTTTCCTGTTACTCCAGTAGTGAGTGAATAAAAGTCATATTGTTGTTTGCAAACTTCATTTTTGTACAGGTTTCCTTTGAAGTTAAGGTTCTTTTGTGGTTTCAAACTTATTTTCTTTTTAATTCTGGTTCACATTTCTGAATTTATTTTGGGGTATCCATGTGTGTATCCATTCCTAATAGCATTGCCAATTTCAAACAAGGGTATGCTTCATTTTTTTTTTTTCTAGGTCTAGCTGTTCACCAATTTTTGTGTGAAACAGCTTGACCTTTCTTGTGTGGCTTGTGGGCAGGTTACATTATTCAGACACTATGTTATGTATCATATTAATGTTGTGCCATGCTGGATAACTGTGAGTAACACTGAATGATAAAACAAAATGCAATGTGTGTTTATCTGTAGCAACCCATGCTGTGACTGATTGTTTGTCATCACAGGCTTTATTGAAATGTGATTGGTCTCTATAAATAGTTACAAGGGATTTAACTCTATTAATACATCACAATATCTGTGTTGGAATAAAACCAGATTTTATGTAAAAAAAATAAAAAAAATAAAATAAAAATAAACACTAAAAGAACTAAGTGAGTTGTTAGCAGTTCTTGAAACTTAGAAAACCAAGTGAAAAAGAAAGCTTCTGTTATTTTTTTTTTTTTAAGTTGTTATATTTGAGTTTTCCTTTGTAAGTGTGGTAGCATACCTAACCCATACCTATGGATGATAATGGGTATGTTCTCATTCAGATAAATACAGTAGTAAATACTGTATATTGGTCTGCAGTTGGAAATTCATTGTGGAATTTGCTTGAACCACTTCTACCAGTTGACTACTTCTATGTGCCGTTGGCGAATCTTATATGTGTTGTTCGTGTCCTAAATATTAGCGTTCATTACCAACCTTCATGTGATTATTCTATTCAGTAACTATCCCTAGGTTACAACAGTAAGAGTTTAAGTTTTTTTGAACCTTTTTATTTTGTGTTTAAAAAGGAAAATTTGGTTAAATTCTATGCTGGCATTGTCAAGGAGGATAAAAAAAACACATGTTAATTCAACTTGACTATTTTATATTAATAGTAAAATTGTTTAGAGTAACAGAGGTTTGACATGTGCATAAAATATAACTAAACTGTAGAATTATACAATTTGATTAGGTGACTACAAATGCAGACAATTTTATGATACATTCTTCTTTTAGAACTGACCATTAACAAACTGTATAAACACAAGTTGAAAAAGAGAAATAAAAATTAGTTATATATGCCAGAACTGATAATTTATAGTGTACCAGAATTATTTTTGTCTTTAAAGATGTGTAAATGATTCTATTGCATAAACAAAACTACAGATTCTGAGTGATTAGAAGAAAAAAATATTTTCATATTTCATTTTAATGAAAAATAAAACAAGTAGGTATTAAAATGTTCCAAATTCATTAAGTCTATAATTCACTAAAATGACAAAAGTATTATACATTTCCATTTGAAAATCTATAAAATATGAACTCATTTACAACATTCTGACAACTGTGCTGACATGAAGAAATTATTTATTCTGTATTTATATTAAGAATGTTGAAAATTGAATTGATAAAGAAAGATGTTGGATCTTTTCAGGATTAATATTATACATGATATTAAAGATGTTTCCATAAAAATGTTATGTTTTTTTTATTGAACATAACAGACAAAATACTATATCTGCTAACTACTGATAAAAAGAAAAAAAAACTAAATGAATTTGGTTCTTCTCTCTCTTATATATATATATATATATATATATATATATATATATATATATATATATATATATATATATATATATATATATATATATATATATATATATATATATATATATATATATATATATATATATATATATATATATATATATATATATATATATATATATATATATATATATATATTTATTCAAAATTATAATATATGCATGTTATAATATCACTACAAAAATTGCAGTTTTGTTTCAAAAAAACCATCACTTGACAAGACACCAGAAGTGTTGAAACAAAATGGCTATTTTTGTAGTGATAACATGCTTATGTTATAATTTTGAATAAATATTATTTGCTCTATTCTGTATTGAACACTCTTTTAAGAATAGTATTTAGTTATTGGAATTTTATTCCATCTGTACCAACCCTGTACTGATATATGTGTGTGCATATATATATATATATATATATATTTAAAAAATCTAAAATTCCCAGCATGCCCCGTTTGTGCACATGTGTAATCATACCAACATAATAAATTTAGTCTGATGAAGGATAAAATGTGTCACAAGTAGACTTTTTCAACTTTCACAATTTTTATATATATATATATATATATATATATATATATGTATATAAATAAAAAGAAAGAACAGTAAGATATAAAATCCGGTGTTCTTATAGATATTATAGATATTTTTAGCTTCTATTTTTGAAACATGGTTGGAACTGTATAGCGAAAAAAAACATATTTTAAATCAATTAATTTATATATATATATATATATATATATATATATATATATATATATATATATATAGTGTGTGTGTGTATAGTAAGGTAATGAAGGGTTTGGAAATCTGTGTGGATAATTCCAAACAGAATGTAATCTGGAGAACTCAATATATATTATAAATTAACTGATTTAAAATATGGTTTCTTTGCTACACAGGAATAATCATGTTTCAAAAACCGAAGCTAAAAACTTCAAATTTAATGATATAATTAAATTTGAAGTTTTTAGCTTCGGTTTTTGAAACATGAAGAAAGTCATATGTAAACACATTCTAGATAATACAAAAGGTGCATTAGATAAGACCAATACACACTGATTATATATACACAATCAAGAAATAAGATTAAATATATACAAAAAATTTAATCTAAATTAAATTTCAATAAGCTGAGCTTTAATAAATTCTTAATTTTATATTTAATAAATTTTATTTTTGTTTAAGTAAATTATATAGAAAAGGATATGAAATGAATGCAATAATGTTCAATGTTTCAATAATTAAATTTGAAGTTTTTAGCTTCGGTTTTTGAAACATGGTAATTCCTGTGTAGCAAAGAAACCATATTTTAAATCAGTTAATTTATAATATTTATGCTCTGTAAATTTACATTGAGCACTGTTTTGTAAAAATAAAAATATCAATAAGAACACCGGATTATATATCTTACTGTCCTTTCTTTTTATTACTATATATATATATATATATATATATGAGAGAGAGGGAGGAAGGAAAAAAATAAAAAGTAATATTGGTTACAGTTTATGTCAAAATGTTAAAGAAACATACAGAGACACTCAGTATTTAAATGTTGATGTTTAATCTATCTAGATGTCAAGCTCATTTTATTGTTTTTTATTTTCAACATTGTTTTTATTAAATAATCTTACATCATATTTAGTAGCAATTTTGTGAAGAAAAGAAACATGTGTTATCTTGACTATATATTTACTGTACATTTAAAAATGAGTTTCAACATAAATTGTTCTCTTTTAAACAGAATTGAATTCTTTAAGTTGAAATTATGGTTAAATCAATTATAATGCATTGAGAGTATTGTTTTGTAAAACTTTTACAAAAAAGTAAACTCAATGGGATCTTTGTTTTGTATAAACTTTTTAATCTTTCATTTAAATTTTATAAATTTATTTAAATTATATAAATTAATTTTATTTTGTAAAAGTTCATATAAACTTTTATTTAAATTTCTAGATATTTCCCCAATTTATTTTATAAGGTTTTTATTGCAATCAATTTTGTATATCCCTGCTTCTAATTTAACGATGTTATTTTGTTTTGTGCTGATTCAATGTCCTTATAGATTATGCAAATAAAAAATGCCCAGTTTATTAATTCTATTTATGTTTTGTGACTAGCATGAGAATAGGAAAAAAAAATATGAAAAAATTAAGGAAGAAATGATAAATAAATTTAAAAATGAAAATAGTAATAAGAAAAGAAGGAGGAAAAAGAATTAAAAGAAAAACATTTGCTAAGAGGGAGATAAATTTTTTTTCATTAAATGTATCCCAAAGGATTACATCAAGTGCCCACCCAATGTGCTGACGATGAAATCTGATTCATGCACCACTTCAAACATGTATCATATTTCAACCAGAAGGAGGAAAGCAGCTCCCACAGGAGTGTTAAGTTTCATGCTGTCTTCCATGCAACCTACCCAGAGTGTATGATAGAGGCCACCCATTGCTGAAGCTGACATATTGCAATCTTAACCATAGCACTCATATCTTGGCCATGAGTTGGTGGAAGAGTCGAGTACTTAGATTTCCCAGGTAATTTCACCAAGGGGATTTAAGAAAAACTGTCCAGATGCCATGAAACTAGCCTGAATCAGTTATTTTATCCCCATTTCAATCATAAATTCTTAACTCAAAGATTTTAAATGTTAGCCAAGTCAAAAGGGCCTTGTGCTTAGAATTGATAGAAATATGAGAGACATAGAATACAGAGAATGGAGAATGTGGGTAAATTCCTATCAATTACAGATGGACAGTAAAAGAGAAAAAAAGAAATAGAAAAAAATAAAAAGAGAGGAACATTGAATATTTAAAGAGTTTGGCAAATGCATTTGAAAGGAGTTTATAGGAAAGGTTAAAAAATAAATGGAAGGTTTTAAATAAAAAATAGCTGCGAAAAGATGTTTGTAAAAATTCATGGATTTGCAAATGGACTTTAATAAATCTATAAAACAGAAGGTATAAAATAATTTTGAATATTCAGTCATCAATAATAATTGTTGGATTATTTTTAAGAATAATACACATTATCCCTAA